CTCTCTCTCTCTCTCTCTCTCTCTCTCTCTCTCTCTCTCTCACACACACACACACACACACACACACAAGAAGACCGGGCAAACTATTTGGTTTCGGTTTGGTATTCCTGCTTATCCTTGATAATATAAATACATAAGCAGCAAAATAAATAAGTACATGTAGAAAGTATCACATCATTATTTACAATAATTCATTACGTAGATATTAACATGCTGAGTTAGTTATGAATAAGATATGATAAATTACAATAAAAAATACCCCCCCCCCAAAAAAAAAAAAAAAAAAAAAGCCCAACTAATTTAATGTGCTCTTAGTTTAAATTACTTAACCCTATCCGTACGCCCTGGGGCCATTTTTGTACCCCCGGGGTTGTATTCTTCACATTTTAGAATACTTCTAGTACGATGATCTCTTTGAAACTTTCAGTATTTCTAAAAAAATCATTTTGACAGACTGCTATGCAAAGTGTACGGATCTGATTAACGAGTAAATTTCCTCTTTGGAAAGCGATGGCACAGAGTTTCCCCACGTCGCATGGATACGATAGTAAAACACGACGCACGGGTAGGGTTAAGTATCATGACAATGAAGTAGTACTTGCTGTATACCTACTGTTGCACCTTCCTGTATATGCACTGCTGAGACTTGACTCGATCATGAGCGAATGAGTCAGAGAAGAAAAAGATGCCACGGCCCATAGATAGATCTAGAAGAAACCCAACCCCAAAACAAAACAAAAAAAATCGAACAAACAAGCAAAAACTCAAAAGACTCCCCCCCCCCACCAAAAAAAGAACAACAATAACAATAACAAACAAACAAACAAACTAACCCAAAACCCCACACGAACAAAACTATTCGTAAAACGACTATCTGTAGGAAGACAAGTCACTATTCTATGGACACCAACAAATCAACCTATGCTAGCCGTTTGCCCGCCCAACCCCAAAAATGTCCCTATAACAAACAAAAAAAATCTTGTTTTCCTTCCCGGGTCTTTGCTTTGCTCTTACTGCGCACCAGCTGGAAACTGGAAAAGAAAAAGAACAGAAAAAAGCTCTCGCTAAAACACACGAACAGCAAGCACAGCCATTTGCTCATACACGCGGACTGACTTCAAGATCTCAAAAGAAACACGCATGCCTGTCAGGTAACCTCTCACCATAGATACCTCTCACTCAACTGTTTCTAGTATAGGGGGAAAGCTCGGATTTCAAATTCACTGTCTACTGTCTGTACACTGCAAGGAATCACGAAACTAAAAAAACCAACATTAGTTCGGACTGGAAGATTCATTCAAACATTGTGCGGATTTAGACCTCCTTCGCCTCCTCCTCCTACCACCACCCCCCTTTCTAGATCTCAAGTATTACTGCTCATCGGTTATTTAATAACTCCCGTGTACAGCTGGATAACTTTTCTAGAACGAAGTATAATTCACCTTTTAATTTTAGACAACCAATTATAGACATGTACTCATACTCATTATTACATTAGATTTCCGCAGACTTGTCCACAGCAGGCCTGCCCTTCTTGGTTTTCCACCAGCCTGCACAATCAACACATTGGTTACGGAATCTCTCTGTTTATCGTATTTATTTGGGATAGTGCTCGATCCTACTTACATACATTTGGTCTAGAAATTGATTTTGTTAAAAAAGAAAAAAAACTTACTTGAAACATTCAACTGTATTTAGCTTCCGACAAGGCTGGCATATAGGACAAATCTGACCGGATCATCTGAATGAAAAGCCTTACCTCAAAGTTATCACTACCCCCTCCCCCACCCTTGAACTTCTCATCCGAAGATGAACTCATTTTAGCCTTTTCCCGGCACTTGCAACGCATTTAGGTCATATAATAAGTGCCAAAGACTAGGGTTGTTACTTGATTTAACTAGATAGCAACGTACACAGAAAAGACGGAAGATAGAATACGGAAGATAGATGTCCCAAAGTAACGAAGGGGCAACCACACCAGGGCACCCACTTACCACCAGCCAACATAAACGTGAGACTGGTTTAGTAAACAAGTGATGCATTGACATTTGGGGGCAGTAATTCTATGGTTCACGTTCACCTCTTGCGAGCTACCGAAACTCCTAAATTTCATTCCAGAACTCATGGCTAACACTCTTCCAGCCCAATAGGTCAAGCCAATACTTGCAGCACACTACACGTTTCTGTAAGATAAAAATGTTCACGAACGGCACGGGCGATCACGTTGATAGAACAAGTAGCATGTAGATCTCGGCTAGTAACACCGGTAATGTGACGTAGAACCAGAGTGCCACACCTGCCGGGGTCTTTGATTGCTCCCGTGAAAGACAGGAGGAGTACGAGGTTCGCATCTGTGCTTACAACTTTTCATCCTTGTGGTACGGAGAGGGGAGTTGAAATAAATATTACAACAAATTTATAAGTGTCTCTACTGTTCCATTTATCTGCTTGTTTTTCTGTCTGTTTGTTTGTTTGTGTGTCTGCTTGACGGAATGTCCATATAAATGCGTAGATAGGATTTAATGAAAATATGAGCAGAAAGTTAAGAGATTAGTCGCGTGTAACCTTTAACATTGATGGTTGTGCCATTCGCCGCTGTCGTGATAAGAGGGCTCATAACTGTAACTGCGTGTATTAGTGCAGCCTTCTAGATCTATGTCGCACAGCAGAAAATACGATGGTGGTTGTCTCATCTCATTTGCTACTGTGTGTAATGAATACATTGCCGTACTATTTGCCTACGGCATTGTACTACAGAAGATTCCGCAGATGCTAACGTGATGAATTATGGAGGGAGAAGTAAAAACTGTACCGAACTGTGAAAAATTATCTTGTGCGTTTATTCTGTTCTGAAGTAGCAGGAGCAATAGCAGTTGTGTGCAGTGTACGTTTTCTGGACTGGTTCCGCCTGTGAATACAATAAATCCCCCCCCCCCTTTTTAAAGAGTACGATGCGTGTACACTCTGCTTACAATCGTTTGTGTTTTATTTTCTTATCGAAAGCTCTTCTCGTCTCTTGTGGTACTAACAAAGTTGATATCTTTTTGCAATTAGTTTTGATCAGGTCATGTTTTCCCGTAATCATGTCGCCCCCGCCTGATGTTTCTATAATAGTAAACGTTTTCCACAACGCCATTTCCCCTTAATGATACTAGATCTATGTAGTAAGCAGAGAAAACACTCTAACGTTATAAATGATCGCTGCTCGAGCGTGTGACATAAAGAAGCCCTCCAACTACTAGATCGAGTTTTTATCGTTGTTTTGGTTGTTTTTTGTTTTTTTGAAAGTGAAGCCCATAATACACCTTACTTTGAACATATTAAAACTTTTGAAACTGACTAATGATATACATTGCTTTGAATGTAAGTGTTGTACCTCGTTCACCGTTTTCATTTCTTTTCTCGAGACAAAATATTGGGCCTACACCCTAGCACTAAGATCTCTACGCTTGTGTTTCACTGCAAGTCACTGCCAGGTCTTCTGCTGGGGCAAAAAAACAAATCCGTCGACAATAATCCGTTTGCGCTCAATGGGCAGATGATGTTATTGAAATTGTTGTTGTCACAGATTTTTGTGAGATTTATTTCTAAGAAATGAACCGGAATGACCATAACCTTTGAAAAATTCGACAGTCTAATGATTTGGTAGAGTTATGCACAGAAATATGTGTAAATAAAGGACGAGTAAGAGATGGTATCACACACTTGGCATGACCTTTTTGTTTACACAAGATAAGAGAGGGTCAATTAGTCTAGGTTTGACCGTTCTTTTCGCTTTTTAGAAGTATAGCTTCTTGAACAACTTTCCGTCTACTTCTGACACTGATAACTATGAAATATTACCCGGCACGTGCGGCAAGGCAAGTGCGCCGTCAATATGTCAGCGACTTGAGAATGAGGGATACAGAGAAAGACTGCATACACAACACTGGTTCAAACTACTTTTATTTGTTCAAAGTTTTGCTGAAATTGGTCCAAAGATGACCGTGTAATTGTCCTTTTAATTAATGAATGGGTCACCTTTCTGGCACCCTTGTTAAACGAATTTTGCTCCTCAGTCAGCACACGGGGTGCAAAATAATTTTGTGGCAACTTTTATCATGCCTGAGATGCCAGTCAAGATGTTTTGACATGAACTTTAATCATGAGAAATCCCCACAATGCTTGCAACTTCATTTTATTTAGCAGTTGAGACGGTCATTTCGGATGGTTTCGTGTTCGGCCGTCCAGCGCACGGTTGGTATGTCGTCGATGAATGTTTGCCCAGCTTGGAATTTGGCAAACCACGAAAAATATTATGTTCTTGATCACTAATAGCTGTCAAAAGCAACCGACAACATTTCAGATGACTCAGTGGCTGTTTTTTTCAAGTCGGAAACAAAACTTGACGAACATTCGCTGCTTTTTTAATCAAATCCAACTCCCGGAGGACCCAGCAAACGAAATACAAAAATTTTAATATTTTGTTTAAAAATGTTCTTAAAACATCAACACAATTGCGAACATGTAGTGGCCTTAGAAATGTTCATGCCAAATTAAAACAGTTGCCTCTGTCTGTCTGTCTGTCTGTCTGTCTGTCTGTCTGTCTGTCTGTCTGTCTGTCTGTCTGTCTGTCTGTCTGTCTGTCTGTCTGTCTGTCTGTCTGTCTGTCTGTCTGTCTGTCTGTCTGTCTGTCTGTCTGTCTGTCTGTCTGTTTCTCTCTCTCTCTCTCTCTCTCTCTCTCTCTCTCTCTCTCTCTCTCTCTCTCTCCTGTTCCCCACTCTATCTCAATCTCTCTAGACAGTCCCACAAAAATTTGCATACATCCAACGTACACATCGGTGACATCACACAGTCACCTAATACAGCATAATTAAAAATCGATACTGAAAGAACATTATAAGTTGTATTGGGAATAACGGTCGTTACACATTCAAGCTGGCCGAAAACAATAAGACTTACTTTTAACGCTGATTTGAATGCTGATGTTGTTGTTATCGATCCAGCAACAGTTGATAAAGCGGTCGGCTCCCGATGCATTGGTAATGTGACCCTCAAGAAGGCAGCTTGGTGTTAAATAGCTCTCCCTTCAAGTCTCTGACTTTAACTTAAGACAGGTTTTTAAAGTCTTTTTTTGTGGACGATCTTGAAAGCCGAGATGTATGTATTCGATGACACGTCGCTAAGATATGATTTGGTATTTTCAGCGATGCACTGAAACAAAAGACAGCTATCTTGTACTGAATACAGTACTTGCTTTCACAGGGAGTCAATGCAATTGGATTAACACTGGTGTTACAGTCTATAATATGGGAGTTTCTTTCTTTCAAATAATACGGGCAGCTTGAAGTTGGAGTTGCTGTAATTTGTTTATCGTTTCTTTGGGAAGATTTCCAAAACAAAAACTACAGTAGTCTAAGCGTGAAATGACAAAACAGAAGATGAGGAGTTTAATGGAATCGACGCTAAGATATGTTGCCATGTCATAGTATGCATAGTCAAAAATAAATTACTTTACATAATATGGTTTACATGGTGACGAATAGATAGTGTATATTAAAAATATAACCTAAACACGAGATTATTTTCGCTTTATTTATGAAAAGGAGGTTCTCATTTCAATACAGATATTATGATCAACATTGCAGGCAGTATCCCTCGTTTGGCATTGCAAATCATGACTTCTCTCTTATCATCATACTTTCTGTTCTTGATATCGGCAATTATTTTCCATGAGTGTTAAAAGACAGTTGTTATTTGTTGTGTGTGTTTTCAAAATCATTTTCATTTTGTTGTTACTTTAGCAAGACTGTAGAAAGTGAATGCCTTAACCTTACACTGGCGATAGCATCACTAACTACTGCAAATTTGTCAAAAGATGAATTTGTGAAGCCAAGTAACGTTGTCATCTCCGGTGCAACAACCGCCAATTCATTGTTCTTATAGCAAGACATTATATGTTGCAGCTTTGCAGAATGGCATACGTGTTCTGACAATTGATGATATTTCCAAACAGTTTCTTACCTCATTCATTAGAACAAGCGTGCGCAGCCTTCTCCTATCATCGCAGCTATTGTGCGGTACAACCACTGTTATAACAATGTCCATTTCTTTCTGTTGAGAACGTTTTTTTTCCATGCAAAGAAATATTGGAACACTTTTTCTTCTGAAAAAAAAATCCCAAATAATAATAACAACAAGTTTCATTGCTATTTGTGTTGCTTCGTTTGAAAGTCTACTGAGATACCAAAATATGAAAGGAAATACGCGTAATAGTTATGATGTGGAGGCAGGAGGAGACAAAAGTGTTCACGCTGAGGAAATGGTGGACATGGTCGGCCTTGAGGACGGCGCGGAACGTTCCCACACCGAGGACATGCAACCGACCAAAGTGACGTCAGTTCTACTGGGATGTCGTCAAAATGTAATCTCCTGTTGTTCCACACACAAACGAGCCGTGTCAAACGTTCTGCAACTCCTGTTTTTCATTGGACTTTGTGTATATCTCGGGTTTGCCTTCCATCATTCTTTCGGTGATGAACAGTCTGTGACGCTATTGGCAGTGTCATGTGTGCTTACTGTGGCCTGTCTGTACTCCAAGTTATCTCCTAACGTGGGGATGGCGGCTAGGAAGGCTTGCTCCTCCATCTCAAGTCCATTCTCGCCCAAAACAAAATCAAGGATATATTGGTAAGTACATACTTGGACGCCTCTGCCAGATTGAGTCAGCACGATTTCATATTTTAGAAAATCGAAGTCTAAATGCCTGTTGCATAAGCGTTATTTAATTTAACGTCCGAACTCAACAACCTTGAAGCCAAATAACAACAATATGTATATATTATATATCATATACACATTTGTATATTTATATCTATATCTATATCTATATCTATATCTATCTATCTATCTATCTATCTATCTATCTATCTATCTATCTATCTATCTATCTATCTATCTATCTACAATTAAGTTCTCTTGAAAGGGATGTGAGACTAGTCTTATTATTATCTCTATTCAATAATTAAAGACGAGAAATGCGGCCTGTCTACAAAAGGGGAAACGATGGGGGACGAGGGAGGAGGAAGGGGTTAAAAGCGTCGAATCAAACCAATTGTGGCAGAAAGTTCTTTTGTTCTTGACTTGTCGAAGAGGAAAACGGAAAACACAACCATTACATATCTACGTGTACATTGTACATTGATATGTATATTTTTGTATAATATTAATGTTAATAATATTATTATCATTATTATTCATTACTACTACTATTATTATTATTATTATTATTATTATTATTATTATTATTATTATTATTATTATTATTATTATTTTATAGTTCCCGCTCTACAGTAGGCTGTAAGGGCTTTACTATCTACATATTACTGCTCCCCCCCCCCCAAGTAGCGGACCTAGTAGCATTTGAAACAATGTCAGCTTTTTGTTAAAAGCATGCAGTGCAAGCTGCTATTCTACAGGCGCTAAAACACGAACATTCTGACAAGATCTTTCGCTGTTTATAGCCAGATACTTCCACATCAAGGTGATGCACTGTCTGTTCTCTCATTCAGATCTTGCTTTGCTTCAGCGTTTGAAAATCTTGAGTTGCTGGGGCAAAGCGAAACCAGGTGCTTTACCAGCTATTGTGCACGCAAACAGTGCAGGACCGGGTTACCCTGTCTCTTCGCGTTGACTTTTTCGTCTTCACGAAGTGCTAGGAAACGGTTAATGAACTATGTCCCCCCCCCCGCCCCCCACAAACTTCCCCAATTTCCGCAAGACTTGCTTCGTTACACATGGAAGCAATTAATGGTCTTAGACACACAGTGAGTACAGCCTTGAGACAGTGCAGGAACCTCGCAACTAATAAAATGTAGCCGGTTTGTTGTGAGCAATATTAGGTACTCTCTGACTTCTGAGGAAGTCTGCTGATTTTTTGATTGAAATTATTCTTTGGTACTCTTAGTGGGTAGGTCTTTGTGCTGCGGACTCATAAGTAACATGCTGGTTTCAGACTATAAATTTCGTCTGCACGACTTTGGACAAATTAGTATAAATGTATAAACATTTGAATTGATAACGATGTACCACTCACCCTTTTCGACCCACGAACACAGTTTAGAGGTCTGTCCATGTTTGAATACATGAGTCTTATAGTGCACTTGTGGCCTAATTAACTTGTTAACGTAAAAAGTAATGGTGGTCGTCTTGGGGCAGCTTGCTAAAAGGTCAACATATTATGCTAGCAGTTACGCGTGAGTTACCTACGTTAAGCTTTTTTTGCTTAGACTTCAACTTTTTCCTTTGATTTGAACCTCTGTTTTTCTGGAACAAAATGTAAGTGAGGCCCCGCCTTTCTAAAGGTATTTGGGAATCTTTTTGTGCCAAACTTTCATTTGTTTGGACCAAAGAAAAGTATTTCTGCTTCCTTTCCTTTGTTCGCATTTATGCTACCCTTTTCCGCTTCTATACATTTTGATAAGGGCACTCTGGACGAAATATTTCTGGGTGAACGCTATGAAACTTATAATCTCATTTTTATTGTATAATACATACTACCCTTTCCCCTTAAAATGTTTCTGCTTACTTATATTCTCTTGAAGAAAAAAGAAGAACAACAAGACGATACTTTTACTGAGCATCACGTCAAGAGTTAGTTGTGAGTGGCCAACTCGAAGACGTTAAGCGTCTAGAGCTGTTTCGTGGGCGCTAGAACTAACAGCAGTAGGTGGAAGCTCGAGATCGTGATGCATTGAGCAAATTATATTGTTCTGAATGTTTTGCCTCTCATATAATTATTATTACCTTTGAGAACTAATCGTTTGTGAACAAATTTAAGTACGTATGTGTCTGGACATGGAATTTATAATCGCCTGCCGAAAGAGTGGCGAAACTGTAGAGAGTACACAAACTTTCTAAAACAGAATGTTATGTCTTCACCCTGGAAGAGAAAAAACAATGTCTTGAATGTAAAGATAAGCTGCACGATGAGAAGAAGAAAATAAACCCCTTTGGTCTACCTGCGTAGTATAGACGTTGAGGAGGAGGGGGGCAACAAGGAGGAGGAGGAGGAGGAGGAGGAGGAGGAGGAGGAGGAGGAGGAGGGCGAGAGGCGAGAGACGGAGGAGGAGGAAGAGGAGGGCATTGTTAAAGAGGAAGAGGAAGAGGAGGACGTTATTAATGAGGAAGAGGAAGGCTGTAGGCGCGTCGCGGCTTTTGTAATCAAAACTATCGAAAACCAAGACTTCCTTCCCAATGCCTACTGGTCACGTGAGCGTCTATTAGAAAAGGAAAAGAAGGAAAAACATGTTGATTGATTTATACCTCTCATTAGTTGAAGTCAGCAACTGGCAGGCGAGGTGCACATTATTTATATTATTTATAGATCTATATGTCGTATATGAACATTCCCTTGGCTGGCCTCATGGAATTTTTCTTATAAAACTGGCGCATCAACTGAGTTGTCTCGTAAACAACTTACAAAGTAGATTTTTTTACTCTGCTGCTATTGATCCATACGATGGTTTCATCTGCTCTGAACATTGTACAACAACTAAAGTTTGGTAAGTATGTGTCCTCGGGGCTTTGCTTTATTAAATTAAGGCTTCTTAGATCAGTACTATTAGTGGGTGGTTGGTGGGTATTCTGGTGTGGATCAATGCTCCCTTTTTCTCTGTCAAACATCTATTGACTTTATCTCCCCTCCTTTTTCCTTTGTATTTTGCTCTTCAATCTTCAGCACTTATGGGACCTATTTGTATTGAAACATCAACATTAAAGTGAGTTTTTGTCAACCAGGGAATATTTATATAACACCTGAGTGTACAGTACATGTGTTTCTATCGTCTCTATGTCTTCCTTCCTCAGGATAGCTCTTTCCTTGATGATGACGTCACTGGTGCTGTACGTCCTGGTGGACACAGCCCTGAGTCGACCCCGGAACCTGATCTCGGCGCTGGGAGTGCTGGTCTTTGTGGCCCTCATGTTCTGTCTTTCTAAGGACCCGGGAAAGGTGAGGGGGGGGGGGGGTGCGGAAAGGAGTGGGTTTGGGGGGGGGGGGGGATTGCAGATTTATGTTGCGAACCGGGAAGGGAGAGGAGGGGTTATTAAGATCTTGAAAAAATAAAAAGGAGAAGGAGAGGGAAAAGGAGGGGGGGGGGCAAAGACAGAGAAGAAGAGAGAAAGGGGAAGAGGGAGAGGGGGTCAGAGAGAGAGAGAGAGAGAGAGAGAGAGAGAGAGAGAGAGAGAGAGAGAGAGAGAGAGAGAGAGAGAGAGAGAAGAAGAAGACATATTATATAAGAGGTTTACTTTGAAATGAATATGATGATACATTGTATGATATTCTGCGAACTATAAATCCTTCAACATAATGTTTTTCAATAACACAGTTAGTGAATTCAAGAAGTCATTCCACACCTACCCCTTACATTTTTTTCTGTACAGGTGCGCTGGCGGCCCGTAGTATGGGGCTTGCTTCTGCAGTTTGTCTTCGGCCTGCTCGTTCTTCGGACACGCTGGGGTTACGCCAGTTTTCAAGTAGGTACACTCGAAATTGTCTAAGACGGCCACCCATTGTCGAGGAGAAAAGTGGCCGTCTTACACAGTGTCATTATATAATGTACCTGTAACTAAAAACGCAAGGGAGAAAATGGGAAGTGGCCATTTGTACGAATGGATATATCCTTTACAAGTGATTGTCAGAGCTGGTTTCACTGTTCTTGAAAGTATTGAGTTCAACCTGTGGCAATGTTCCGAAGAGTTTACACTGACGTCAGCTGTGTAGTGGTTAGGCTCTTCGCTGTTACATAAGAAAATGTGAATATTCGATTCCCGAATGGGGAAGTATACTTTTTTAGTACGTGCATCTCCGTCTCTGTGCAAGAGTGTTGTATCCCACTCAGCCAGGGATAACCCTGATAGGCAGGATCTAAGCTGCCAGCTTCCGAGGTGGATTGGTCCATTCAAAAAACTTCCCCCGAGCTCCATTTCCTTAGATTTCGAAATCGACAAAATACATGTACTGGACTACTTTCGTATAAAAGTACATCATCATCATCATCATCATCATCATCATCATCATCATCATCATCATCATCATCATCATCATCATCATCATCATCATCATCATCATCAACAGCAGCAGCAACAACAACAAAACGAACAACAACGACAACAACAGCAACAACAACAACAACAACAACAATAATTGCACTATCACCAACGCTGGAGCCAACAATAACTACACTTACGACAACAACAGCCAGTACAAATTATAACACGGGGAATCCCCGGACGTTCCCACAGTGGCTCGCTGACCGCGTCACTGAGTACTTGGACCATACAGACAAGGGGACAAGCTTCGTCTTCGGCAAGAGCTATGGAGACCATTTCTTTGCTTTCAGGGTGAGTAAAATGCTAGCAAAATACCTTTCAAGTCTTTTACTCGTACTTGAATTGTTTTTATTCATTTATTGTATTTATTTTGAATGAGAACTAGGGTTCAAAGCCTTTTTTTTTTGTAGGGTTATTTTATTTTAATATTTATTTTTTTTGGGGGTGGGGGTGGTATCCGGTGCGTAAATCAGTTGACGCTTCATTCGTTATATCCACCTTTCATATATATTTCTTCGTGTTTCTTTTGTATTATTGTTACTGAGAAATGAACTGGCAAAAAACAAAAACAAAAACCCAACACACCCCCCCCCAAAAAAACCCAAACCAAACCCTCCACAAAAACAACAAGCAACAACAACCCAAAACCCAATTCAAGCAAGACGAGCACTTCTTACACATAATCACAACAACTTTCCTAAGCCTACTGACTGTCCGATTTATCCACCTATCACTTGTTCCACCGTCCCCGGCTCAATGCACAACACAAACAACAGCTGAAACAAAAGAAGCGAAACCACTATGGCCAATTAAAAACATCCACCACAAACAGCTGTAGCCCCACCCTTTTTTGGGTGAAGATGTTTGCCTAAGTTTTACACGACATTACATTTCAGGATGTTCATAGCTACATCATCAACCATAACAATTAAAGCCACTTCGACCTCCACAAAAACCAAATAACGACGCATTAACGACAGCAACAACGATAAACATATCATCATCATCATCATCATCATCATCATCATCATCATCATCATCATCATCATCAACAACAACAACAACAACAAACAACAGCAGCAACAACAACAAAGCAACAACAACAAAGCACCACTACCACCACCAACAACAATAAGAACAACAGCAAATAGCAACAATGACATCACCAAAACCAGCACCATCAACAACTATCGTGAGTTCCTGTACACGTGTGTCTACCCAGGTGATGTCCACCATCATTGTGTTCAGCTCTACCATCAGCGTGCTCTACCACCTGGGCGCCATGCAGATCGCCATTGACGCCATCACACACATAATCAGGGTCAGTCTGGGTACAGGACCTATGGAGACGCTGCACGCCGCTTTCAACATCTTTGTCGGATGGGTAAGTGTCATGTGGGTCGTTTTATTTTCTTAGTAAGCGTTTTACGGCACTTGCAGTGCAGTTAGGTAATATAAGTGACGAAGATTAGACAATGACAATGACAATGACAATGACAATCTTTATTCATCTCGCAGGGAGAAATTTGTCTTGGTCGTTAACAATGGCTTACAAAAGTTAGACTTAAAGGTGCACTCACGCAAACGCACAACAAGACAGGACATTATGCCAAGTAAAAACATGTCTCACGGGCTGGGACAACCCGCTCCGTAACACATTCATTCTCTCTCTCTCTCTCTCTCTCTCTCTCTCTCTCTCTCTCTCTCTCTCTCTCTCTCTCTCTCTATATATATATATATATATATATATATATATATATATATATATTTCATTTGTAGCACTGTGCGTTCAGTAACCTCACTGCAGTTGGTACGAATGAATTTCTATATCTGTCTGTTCTTGCTTTTTTGGAAATGTATCGTTTACTGCGGGTCGATAGTTGAAATTCCGATGTCAGTGGGTGGCTATGGTCACTAAGCATTATTTCCGTCTTTTTTTAGAACGTTTGTCTTGTGCAGATATTCAAAGTTACTTAGGTCTCTACCAATTGTTCTTGATGCCTTTTTTATCAACTTATTTAGTTTTATAATGTGTTGCCTTCCCAGATTGCTACCATAGCAAGTGATTCCAAAATTTATCAAAGTTTCTATTGTGGTGGTGTAGAAAATGAAGGATGGATGGATTCAGATTGAAAGACTTAAGTTTCCTCAGAAAGTACAGCCTCTGATTTACTTTTTTAACGATATTGTTTACGTGGTTTTGCCATGTAAATTTGTTGTCTATTGTAAGGCCAAGATATTTGCATGAATCCGTGATTTCAATAGTTTCTTGTTCAATTACGAGTGGTGGGATTGTTGATTTTTCTCTTCTAAAATCAAAAATCATTTCATTTGTTTTTGAGAGGTTCACTTTTGGAAAATTTGAGTTGCACCATTTAAAAAACCTACATATTTCTTCGAAATACTCTTTTTCATCATGGTTTATTAATCCAATAATAGCGGAGTCATCTGCAAACTTAATTAAGCGTGTTGTTTTATATATACTTCTATGATCGTTGGTATATATAGTATACAAAACTGGTGACAAAACACACCCCTGAGGACCGCCGGTGTTACAAAGAATTGTGTCAGATTTTGTGTTGTTTCGCTTCACATATTGTGGTCTACCTGTCAAAAATTCCAGGACCCATGCAAACACGACCTTGTCGCCGCAGGAGCAGCGCCCCCCCCAAAAAAAAAGAAAAAAAAAGAGAGTAACAAACACAAAGAGGGAGGAGAGATAAGGACAATAGATGTTTGATAGGAAAAAAGGAGCAAACCACATCAGTGCACCCGCCAACCCCCCCCCCCCCCCCACCACCACGCACTTGTGTAGTTCGTTGTTCATTGGGCAGGAGGAGAAAGACTCCGAGGAGAACAAGGAGAAAGAAAGCATTTTGTTTGTTGTGGGAAGGGGGGTGGGTGGAGGAGAAAAAGAAGGGGGTGAAGGAAGAAGAAGCACATAAGCATAGGTAATAAGGCCATTCCCAAAGCAAAAACATCATCAACAACATTACGTCACTTGCAGTCACATAAGTATTGAAATGACAACAACACACAGTCAATAAAATCAAGAATGAAGGCATTTTTGTGACCACATAATCATTAAGGCATACTACAATTGTAGTTTTTGTTCTCTGTAATAGTTGATATTATATTGCATTATAAAAAGACGGAGCACGAGCATAGAAACTCCCAATTACTGACTAGGCTACTTTACGTTATGACCTCTTTCAGGCGGAGACAATCCCTGTTGTAAAACCACTGCTGGACCAGATGACCAAGTCAGAGCTACACGCCATCATGACCAATGGATTCTCCACAGTCTCCGGTGGCGCGATGGCCGCCTATATACTCTATGGGGTAAGCGCCCCCCCCCCCATGCAAAAAGATGACAGGTTTCTAAAGCACAGGAATTAATGGCGCGTCCAGTCGATTTGTCTGCCAATCTGTTTACTTGAAGGGCTATTTTAGAATGATGCTTGAGGTAAACATGTTCTCAGAAGATGAATAGATCTACAGGTAATTTTGAAAAAGTGATGCATTTTCGAAGTTTATTCAGAAATAATAAGTTATATCTACCTATATCATCACAGTAAATGGGTGATATTCATAAAAGACCTATAAACACTATGCAATTGTGCTTTATTCTTTGCCACCGCTGAGTGGTGGGGGTCACAAACAGAACAAAAAACGCCATGATTAGTCTCATGGCGATAGTAACACGTCCAATCAACATATTATCAAACCCTGACATTAGTGACATCCCCTCCCGCCTTTGCCCCCTTGCACTTTGCACCACCTTACAGGCGCCAGCCAACCACCTGATCTCTGCCTCTTTTATGTCTGCCCCTGCTGCTCTGGCGATGGGAAAACTGTTCTACCCAGAGAATGTTCCAGGTCGACGAAAACAGAAGGCGCCGGTTATACCCAGGTGGGTCCTGGTGGGTTTGGTCCATGTTAGATGGGTCAAAACTGAATGATGACTCGTTGAAGAGTAACGGATTTGGTATAAAGGGAAACATTAAAATCTGCACACTCCGATTATAATATAAAGATCTACTGTCGAACCTGCTTAAACGGCCATCTGTCCAAGATAATATCACCTGCACAGACGACCATTTCTCACGTCCCTGCTTTTTTATGAATTATAATTCACGTCCACCTGTCTATGCAAACCACTCTTTTCCTCGACAATGGGTGGCCGTCTTGGATGATTTCGACTTTATTGCCTTTAATTAATTAACTCTATCGAAATCCTGGGCAGACAGCTAAATATTTTCCTCACGACGCTTTAATGGTCAAGAACGTCTTTAGAATAGATGCTATTAGCGAGGAACATAATGATTATTGAAGATGTGGTTCCCCATCCCGGGGTTTCCGTTCTAAAAAAACATTCTATTGGCCCTGTTCCTGATGCCTGTGGGCGCTTCACAATACATGTACAGTAAAATTTCGACTGCATACACATTGGCACGTTCTATGCATTCCTGCCCATTCATTGTACAGCAATCCTTTAAAACACACACGCACCCGAAAATACCAAATTTGACAAAAGAAACCGTACCCACAACTTTCACTCATATCTCAGATCAACAAGTGGTGTGATCGAGGCGGCCTCTGCCGGGGCCGTGAGTGCCATACCTCTCATCGCCTACATCCTGGTCCATGCCATAGCCTTCCTCTCCATCTTGGACTTCATCAACGATACCCTGGCCTGGCTCGGAGCGCGGGTCGGCATCGCACCGCCAAACTACCCGGTGCTCTCATTTCAGGTACATCAGCTCGATTACAAGGGATTGCTGTTGAGTGACTGAATATCGTGGAGTTTTCAAATAAGTTATTGTGAAGTCATATGTGAGTCTTCCATTTGGAATTTCATGCGATTTCATTTGGAGGATCGTATGATTTCTTTTGGAAGATCAAACGATTTAAAACTTTTAAAAATAAGGGATGGGGAGGATAACATATTTATGTAAAAGGACTAGATCTATTTCTTCTGCATTGAGTTTCTAAACATGTCATTTGTGTCTTATTTTATCATGCCAGATCTCTCTGCTGTTTGCGTTTGAACGGGATGTTACGCAGAATACTGCCCTCTAATGTAAAGTGACATCTCTCTTGATCACGGTTTCTCGTCAGATTTCGTCTCTCCCCGTTATCAGTGCAGCTGTTGTGAGGCATTTCATGTTACAGTCCACCCATTTCCTTTTACAAAGTGCTTTTGTCAGAGATTGTGTCAAGTGACCCACGCATATATAATGATTTGGAGGCTGCGAAAGTTTCAGGCAATCTACGGGCTGTTTACAAACCAGGTAAATAGGACTTGTCTAATTCCTTGCGGGGAACATACACCTTTAACAAAGAGTACGGCGAGCCAAATAACTTTAATTGATAACAGAGCTTTAAAGATATAAAAATAAAATCTGCTTGACACGTGGCTGGAAATTGCCCTCAGGGCCACAAAATGAAGAGATTGATTCTGACTACGTTACTATTACAGTACAACTTGTGTATCGGGATGCATAGAAAGGGAAGAGGAATGAAGGTAGGGATATGTTTGAATGTGTGATAACCAATTTTCGGAGTTGCCCCTGAAGTCAACACTATTTAATCGCACCATGGGAAGGGGGATACCTATGTGGGCATTTCGAAAGAACCTATGTGTTCTAAGTTTTAAATGTTGTAACCTTACGTACCCACAGTTCATCAGCTCTTACTTATTGTGGCCAGTGGCCTTCCTGATGGGCGTGGTACCGGACGACTGTCGCGTAGTGGCCCGGATGTTGGGTGTCAAGGTGTTTGTGAATGAGTTCCTTGCCTTTGAGGACCTTGGCAAGGTAAGAGCAGCTCCAAGCAAGACTTTGGTTGCCCGTCTTTGTGCTTAGACGTCCTAGTTTTTTACTTTACGTTTGCTTGTTTGAGGTTTTGAGAAGCCAGAACCACATGCCGTTAGATCTGTTCTCTCTGTACAGCAGTGTCTTTGGTAAAAGAATTCAAAGAGTTATCGCATAAAAATTAATGGTACTGAATTTAATAGTCAGTTTAATAACTAGTATCCCCTCTTCCTTTTGTCTGAGTGTCTTTAAAAAAAAATCGAGTACAGTTTTTCTGTTTCTCTTTCTCTCAATCTCACTTTCTCTCTCACATACATGTATAAAGCACAAACCTTTTCTGAAGGCAGTACCAGATTCTCTATGATCTTGCTGGTTGAGACCTTTGAGTCCCCGCACTTCATCTGTCTGGTATACCCAGTGTCCCTTGAGGGATCGACAAACCGAGCGCCCAATTCGCGGCCTGAAAATAAACGCGTATGTTTTTGAGGCTGCGAGTCGTGCGATCGGATTGTGCCACAATGGTCGCTTTGCGCCCTGCATCTGGCTAGCCCCGCCTACCAAACCGAACCGAACCAAACCGGTCGTGCCAGTTGGCACCCCCTATTTCCTCATTAGTCAGCAGAAAAGTTAAGAAATTAGTTCCCGTTGTACGTTCTCGTTTGCAAGTCTCGGAATGAACGACCATATTGGCCTTGTGTGGTACTTCTGTATGGAGGTTCTCATGTATTCAACAACTTGCTCCTTCCAGGTACGCTCTAACAACGTAGCTCTCTTGAACTACACAACAGTTTTGCCAAATGCAACTTGGTCGTGGACACAAACTGATGACGTCATCCTGGACATGTCTGGTCTCGTCCTGAAAGGTGGTGTAATGTCTGTAAGTATGTTTTAACTGCTTAGTTATTACAATAATATAATTTTAAAAAACCCAGCAGTTGTTGGCCGTAGTCGAACTATTTCAGAAGTCAAATTACCCACTGGCAATACAACAACACAATGGTAAAAATAACCCTTTAAAAAAACAACTCTTTAAAGACTTGACGGTCACATACATGCGACAGAAAATCAAAGGCCATGTTGTGGCTCACTTGAAAGATGATACAAAAGTCAGAAAGTTTCATATAAAAAAAGCATCATCATTATGTATGAATAATGAAGTTATTTAGATTTAAGTACCCCAAAACAGTGAGTCTTCAAGTGTTGTCGAATAGTCAGAGTGTGTGTCCACAAAAGGTTAACGAAATAGTACCCTAATGTATCCGGTGCGTTACCATATATAAACCTAGTATCTAGGTATCAATGGGGTGTGACGGCAGAAGATATTCGGAGATGTCTCCGATGGAGATAGACCAATCAAAATGCTTTGTGCCTCTAGACCAAGTAAAACAAATCTGGGGGTTACAATGGGGCATACCCCCCTGATTTAACCCATTATTTGATAATTTGCACTTGGGTTTGAAATTTTCTAGAAAATAATTGATTTGTGACAGTTTTAGTGGCTATATGTGTGATCTGCAGCAAACGATACGCAGTTTGACCTCCCAAAGCAGTGCAGCTGTGTGCGGGAGTGTGTCTCCGAATAGTTCCTGGGTGCTCCCACGAGACGTCTCCGAATATCTTCTGCCGTCACACCCCATTGCCCTGGTCTTTACAGTTTTACAGTTATTTACACTAACCCCCCCCCCCCGCCCCCAATTCTCTTCCCGCTTCTCTCTCACCCCCCCTTTCTATCCCCCCTTCTACCCCCCCCCTCTTTCTACCCCCTTGTATATTTTCTACTTTCCGTCTCCTTTCACCTGTCTGTCTCTATGTGTCTATCTACCCCTATTTGTCTTTATGCCCGTCTCTTTTTTCAACGTTTCACTCATCTCTGTTGGCTTTTTTCTCTGTCCTATCGTATGCTTCTCTGATTTTTCTCTTCTACTGATTCGACTACCTGCTTTTCTGTCTTAGTCTGGCTTTCTTTCTTTGTTTATTTGCCAATTAGCAACCTACCCCCCCCCCCACTCTCTTTCTCTTGCCTTCTATGATTTGATATCCCTCCTGAAAACAGGGAACCCTCATACACCCCTCCCGCCCGCCTCCCATTCCCCTCCCTATCCCAAGACCCACAAGTAACACCGTTGTTCTGTGTGCGATGCTGTTATTTTCCAATGAGAATTGTGGCGTCGGTGGCCTAGTGGTTAGGCTCTCGGACTCGCAACCGTAAGGTCGTGGGTTCGAATCCTGTCAAGGGCCCGACGTTGTGTCCTTGGGAAAGGCACTTAACACGAATTTTCCTCACTTCACCCAGGTGGGAATGGGTACCCGGCTATAGACAGCGAAAGATCTTGTCAGTTTGTTAGTGTTTGAGCGCTTAATCGGCTGCTTGCACTGTATGCTTCCCGGGAAGCTGAGAATGTTTCTGAGTGTTCTATGGTCTGCTGGGGTAATAATATAGTGTAAAGCGCATAGAGCCTGCTGCTGAGCGGGGATATGCGCTATACAAATGCTATCTATTATTATTATTATTATTTTTTTTTTTTTTAAAATACATTGTTTAATGTATTTTGTCCCCCAGGAGCGGTCAGCGACCATCGCCACGTACGCCTTGTGTGGGTTCTCTGACCTCCTCGCCCTGGGCATGATGGTTGGTGCCCTGACTGCTGTGACGTCACATAGGAAACGTGACGTCATTGATGTGGCTCCTCGGGCGCTCTTCTCTGGGGTCATGGCGTGTTTTCTCACTGCGGCCATGTCAGGTAAATGTCACTTCACCAGTGGTTATGTTATAAATGACATTGGCTTTCAAACCTTTGGCTTTCAAACCTTTCTGCTCCAAGAGGAGCTTTGAAAACAATACGGCCGGGAAGGCAGGACTTATGCCAATGGAATTCTCTTTTGGGGTACAGTAGAGAGGTCATCAAAAAGAAATCGTAAAGGGAATGCATGGCTTGATGAGGCTGAAGATGATAATTTTGAAGTCTACGTTTTTCTTGACTTGAAGAGGAGATTAATTGTCAAAGGCGAAACGGACATGTATTTGTACTGCAGTACTATTTTACTTTCCTTGTAAGTGAAGGCCGTGCGCCAGCAGAAGAGAAGAAAAAGAACGGAAGCAATAACAGTAAGTTCATCATTGAAATGGTTATTTTAATGTAACTTGTAGCCATACTGGGTTTTTATTATCCGGATGTTATTACTGATAAATCTACCTTTTAAACTCAAGTGGTTGAGAAGTGGGTTTTATTTATTATTTTGCAACACTTCGTCGATCATGTTATTGTTTTTTGTTATGAATATGTTGATGGTTTGTATAGTGCTTCGTGGCAAGTAATAACTCTTTTGTGTTTAGAAGTTTACAAGATACGCAACTCGAAATTTCCTAATGCCTCTTTGTACTCATTGTCACTTCCTGTGTCTGTATTCCTCGTTGTCATGTTCTGATTTCCACTGTCCAAATACATGTTTATTTATAGCGTTGTATTAATGTTTAATTTGCTCCACACAGCTTATTTTTTCTCATGTCCTAGGCCTGCTGATTGACTGACTCTTGCTACTTGAGATGAGTTGCAGCTGGTCATCTTTGGGAAGCACACGATAACACCTCACATTTTTTGCCTTTTGAAATTTGTACCGTATTTTAAAAAACATCGTTATTGTCAGCTAGTATTTTCTCATCGTTGTTGTTCTTTTACATCAAGTAAATAAAAAAATGAAATTAAATAAATTAAACAGAAACAGATGTTTGCGTCTTTTGTTGTGCATTGTATCGTTCGATTAATTTTGTCACTCTATTATTATAGACACACCAGGAAGAAAGTTGCCCAAGAGCAGCCATGCCATTTCCGACACTGGACACATTCTACTGAAAATTAAAAAAAGCATTCATACTCCAAGGGGAATCAAAACCTATACATTTCGTGGCCTTGCAGTGTCCAAGCTCTCTACCCATTGTGTCTATTATTTCTTTACAATACCACCATAAATTAAATGGTCACAGTTACGAAAACGATTTGAACGGTTTTTCATTGTTTCTGGAACATATAGCCGTAAAACTTATTTAAATGAGATGAGAAGAATTTGGACCATGGACAAATAATTTAGTTCAAAATTCAGTTAGTACCTTCATCAATCGAATTCACCCATCAATGCTGTATTCTTTCTTTGAGGAAGGTATGTTAAAAAAAAAAAAAACAACAACAACAACAACAACACACCTCTCGTGACCAAGAGGTTAAAGTTCGCTTCTCATTCAAAGGCCTGGGGTTCAAACCGGATAGCAACGGTCTGCCCTTAAAATTTCATTCGCCTCCTTCGTTCCCACTGTGTACATAATGGTATTGTTAGTATTATTTTAGAAAATGTGATGCATTTGTTTTAGGCAGAACCTCCATAGACGGCACACGGCACGCGGCACATATAGCACACAGCACATGGCACGCGTGCGAAATTAAATTAAACACAACCATTTAGAGTTGCACACTCCATTGACGGCACGACAGCCACGACGAAACATTGCGTGCCTTGCTTTGCAGCATTGCTCGTTTTTTGTGTAGTGTGCTGCCAAAATGGATGGCTACAAGAAAGAAATTATTGAACTTGTGAGAGACCGACCGCTTCTTTGGGACCCCCAAAACCCGGAGTATTACAACAAAGATCAAAGAAAACAAGTCTGGGAATATATTGACAGTAAATGTCTACCAGCAGGTGAGTTTCACTTTTTTAAAATTTCAATGTGTAGTGTAACGTTTCTGAAAACAATATCTCATCTTTAAGTCTCATCAAGGAGCTGAAAGTTCGATGAAACTCTCCTCTACTACTCCTCAATAGAAAATATTCTCTGCAACACATGATCCGCTTTTCCCTCTTTTTCCCGATCATTTAGAATTGCTAACATGATCAGAGTATCTTCATCAGACGAATCCATGGTTGTGATGTGTTGTGTTGTGATGTGTTGTGTTGTGTTGTGGTATGGTCTATGGAAGGAGGGGGTATTAGCCTGTGGCACGGCACGTGCCGACAAGTCATGTGCCGCCTATGGAGGGTCCGCCTTACGCAAGGTGCAATCCACTCAATTTATGTTGTAATAGTATCTTTCTTGGGATCGTTTACCAAATGCATGGTCCAGATTTCTAAAGTATTATTTTATTCATTTGTCATTTACATTCTCGTGTTCGTGAATGTATGAATTTTAAGCAATTATCGGCTATTAGGCCATTAATGTCTTGTAAAGCGTATTAGGCATTGTAAATTATGGAATTGCGCTATATACATGTACATGCCGTATTTTATATACAATACACAAGAGTTTGTACCGCACTCATCCTGGGTTGGCCATGACTGGCAAAGTCCAAGAAGTCTGCCTCCAAAATCGCTATGGAAATTTTTAAGATGATGTAAATAATAACTATAGGCTACATCGTGTAATTTTCAAATGGTTACTTTCAAACACTGAACAGTAAGAGCGCCGTAAAAAAAAAAAGACACTGGACAAGGAGTGAACATTTCTTGAAAGACGAGAATAGTCACTCAGACTGAACTTGTGGAGGTAGCAGTAGAATGTCCTCATCTCACACCCCTGCCCTCGCTCCTCATCTATCCAACTCACCCCATCCCCTCTTTCGCACTGCTTGACCCATGGAAACCGTCAACTTCTTCAGTTTGTCCAAGTGTGTGCTCCTAGAATAGAACAGGTACCACCAAGAGGAAATTTCTCTTCAAACATCAAGATCTATGTTCCTGCGTCAAGAAAGCATGTTTTGCAGACAGTGGGAACAGAGTTATTACCGAGAATGGGAATAAGACAAAAGTAACAAAGAAAGCAGGGGAATACATTTTAATTTTAATTAATGAACCCTTTTTATCCGTATTTTTCTAAGATATTCTTTTGAGCGTCCAGAAAAGAAACATGGTCATCACGGCGTGTCTGACGAGTTCCGTCTCAATCAAGGGGTCGAATCTTCATTTCAGAAAAAGTCGCCGAATCGTAATCGCCGGTGGTGGTGCCCCATACCAAGCCCTCGCCGTATTCCTGACTTCCCCATTTGCCGTTGAGGTTGGAGTCGTGGCAGGCCTTGTACCACCAAGCACCGTGGTACTCCACGGCGCAGTTGTTGGAACTTTTCGCATCGTTGTCGCGGTCTTTGGTTGTGAAAGGCTGGTCATTGTGGTAGGTGAGTCCATCAGATGAATTTCCCGAATATCCAGATACCCGGATTCTGTAGTTCTCCGCCTCTCCAAAGAGAGTGAAGTTATCGTAGTTAGCATAATAGTCCTGTCCGTTGAAAGTGATATCAATCCTCAGTTCGTACCGTCTCTGTTAAATTAAAAAAAACGACAAAAATGAATGTCAATTACTGTTTTAACCTAAAACAAATCTGTTTGTTTAAGAAGAGGTGCTTGCAACTGCATTAAAAAAAAAAAAATCACATGAGCGCCAAGGGGTGGTGGATGTCACCAGAGAAGTCTTTACAGGGAATCAGACATACTCTGCTCACCTCTCTAGCCTGCTCACCTATCTACCTTTAACAGCTCAAAGTCTGCTTCGACTATCGAGGCACCCCGGAGATAATGGGTCACAAAAATGTAACAATAGTGGGTCACACGCATGTAACATACATAAAAAGAAGTAAGAGGAAAATTGACGATAGTAAGGATTAAGAAAAAAGCAGCAGTTCCCGGTTCCAGTTCAGGCACAGTTATGAGCACGACATTGTTGAATCTGCCCATTTACAATTCTACTGTGAAAAAAGTTAATGTCCCCCCTTTGGGAATGGCCTAAAGACACAACAAAAGGAATCCATTCTCATTCTTCATTCTCCATTCTCATCCTTCAAACTGAATGGAACCCTAAACATGTTAACGACAACGACAACAATACTTTCCTTGAACGTCAATTGGTGGACTTTCTCCAGGCCGAGCCAAAAGTTGCCGTAGACATCCCCAAAGCCGTACTTATAGTCCGCCCAGTTAAGGTAGAAGTCCACGTCGGCGGACGCTCGTCTCTGGGGACATTTTGGAGACCGTTTACCCACAGATCCACTGCACATATAATATGTACGTCGAAACCCAATTTGACAGTACAGTCGAAAACGTCCAAGATGGCTACACATGGTCGAGAACAAAAGACAAGTGGAAGACTTAGTGTCAGAATCGGGAAAACGTAGAAAGGGGGGGGGGGCGGGGGCGGAAACAAGTTTATTCATGCGATTATTTTGGACAGGTGACCGTTAGAGCAGGTTCTGTTTAATTGGATCCTTGTGCATGCGGTTAGATTTTCTTTCAAGTAGGGGAAAAAGCTATCATATTTTAGGCACAGTCCATTCTAAAAAAAATCAGACGCTTTTGGTTCTCCAAGGTCACGATAGTGTGTATGGAGGAAAAAAAAAATCATGACCAGCAGCACATCAGAAGGCTGACACGTGTCCCGTTGATGCCAGCAGCACATCAAAAGGCTGCCATGCGTCTCCGTAGTTTTCTATCTGTAAATGCCTGCAGAATGCGATAACACGTCCGGATCAAAATAAATGTAATGAACCAAAGTCTAGTCCGTTCTACAGATCGGCTCCGGGCTCTAACAATGTACGCCCAAAATGTTCCATTTTATAAATGCAGTTTAAATCTTGGTATAGGTTGTAAGTGGTCAGAAAATTAAGGTATTTTACGGTACTATAGACTCAATTTCGCTCATGTAAATGCCAACAAGTATTATAGCTGCAAATATATTTTAAAAAAGACGGGACAGACATTTATAGGAATCTTTGTAAATACGGTAAAGACTTATTTATGCATTTAAGTATCCGTGTATATATGCACACCGAGAACTGTATATTTTTATATCTTATAAAATAATCCCAATTTCTTTAATAAAACAAAATCTTCCTTGGATTAACGGAAGTAAAAAACGGTTGATATTTTCTACTTTTGACGTATTTTACACGTATATTATAGTCAAAGTAGACACATTCCGTCAGAATGAGTTGAACAGTGAAATGTTGCACGCCAAGCAAAAAAAGGGGCCTCCTCTCCTTCGGGTATGTTGTGTGTTGGTTCCAAAATTTTGGAACCACGAGGATGCGAGGGGTTATTTCCGGTTTCATGTCAGAGAATGAGATTTTACTAGTTGTTTTGCCCAGGTAGTTTTAGAGATTCTTTCTTTGGCAACGTGGTCAACGATCTGGTTGCCATCAATGACGACATGGCTTGGAAGCCAAACTATATTAACATTTTTTTCCAGATAGATCTAGATGTAAAAATGAAGTATAAAAATTATGTTGCCAGAGGTGCCACAGCGCTCTAAAGATTTCAGACAAGAGAGTGAACGGATTAGGACTTAGTGGATTTATCTATAATATTTAGGGCCATTTCAAGAGCTGTAGTCTCAGCAGTGCTCAGAAAAGGTGTCCAAAAATTCTAAATGCTGAAAAAAGGGAAAATGTAAGTACGATTTTTTTAAAGAATGAAAGTTTTTGTTCTGCTTTCCTGAATGACTTTTCATTAGGTATCAGACAATTGGTGACCAATTTTTTTTGTCTCGATCGGATAAGGAATAAGCATACCAAAGTAAGGACTCTTAGTGCAAATAAAATACAAAGTCATTCTTACCTAAATAACCTGTCAGAACTAAAGTGAAGTTCTAAAAAGGTAATTCTTACCTGCATAACAACCCAACCTCCATTGTCTGTTACAGTGTCACATACAACTTCCAGGCCGTTGGAAAGAGTAACCACTGGATGGGGGTTCGAACCTTGGACGTCAGCACAGGTGTGTGGCTGAAGAAACAGATGTATGGCATTGTGGTGAAATCAGACGCTTTTTTGGAAAGGGGGGTGGGGGGGGGGGTTCAAATCCTTAAAAGACGATCTTATTCTTTTAAAAACTGTTTCTTTTAACCCGATTACACCGTGTCGTGACACAAATACGGTGGCTCTAGAATTTAAAAAGGTGAAATGACGAGACACAGTAATCGTCTCCACAAGCATTAACCAAATCAAATCAGAGAAAGCTACAATCATGAATTGATACATGAATTGATAAAATAAATGCAACTTCAATTCTATCAAGTTATCAGATTATTATCAGATTAAGAAAATGTGCAATATATATATCCGAGTTTCCACCCTAACCATGTCCTGGAATCTGTGGTGTAGCGTCGCACACAGGAGACACCGGGTTTGATTTCCCAGTGTGGAAAATATTTAATAGAGTATGTCTGCTTTACCTCCGAGATGTTGCATACCTCTCGGTGAGGGTTGGCCCCGATGTGATCAGAAGCCCGCCTCCTAAACGATCCAATTTGTGTCAATGAGGGCGTAAAATACACCTCTATTTAAAAAAAATAGCTTACATATTTCTTCCCTCCAATTGTTTAGACCACACAATCGTTCCCCTCAAAGCCCCCAGGTTCCTGTTCGATAAATAAAAAATAACAAAACTTACCCAACTCGAGCAAGCCAGTTGTACTGTGACGTCACCGTTTGTCAATTGTTCTGTGAAGGAGCAGAGTTATGCATTTTATCAAAGCATTTTATCCATTAGCTTGTTTCTGTTTACGCAAAGAGCAACATCAAGTGTAATAACGCTCATTTAGGATTTGGCAAATCAAACTTGAAATCACTTGCGTGAGACTGCTAGGCGCTACCGCTACGCCAGACGCCAACGTTTGTTTAGTGAAGGGAAAAAGGACAAGACAATAGAGGGAACGAAGACAGAAACGAAGGGAAAAAAAGGACAGACAACCGAGGGAAAGTTTTATTTTTAGTTTTAGTTTTAGTAGAGGTTTTACGGCGCTCACAACTGCATAAGGTCATATGAGCGCCAAGGGGTGGATGCTAACAGAGAAGTCTTACAGTAATCAGAATTATTCTGCTCACCTCTGTAGCTTCAATAGCACAAAGTCTGCTTCGACTATCAAGGTACCCCGGAAATAGCGGATAACAAGAGTGTGACAAACATACAAAAGTAGAGAAAAATGACGGTAGTAAGGATCAGGAATGAAAAAGCGGTTCCCTGTTGTAGTTCAGGCGTAGTTCAGGCACAGTTGTGAGCATGGCATTGTTAGATCAGTCCATTTACAATTCTACTGGGCACTAGAACGAGAAATGTCCCCCCCC